AAAGGAGAGAATCACTGCTGAAGGATGGCTGCACCGGTGATAGAGAAGAAACGGTTCTTCTGTCGCGAATGGGCGTTCACAAAGCTGTCCCATTGCTTGGAACAGAGGCCAGCTTCGAAGACGTGCGGTGTTTTAGTAGTCGGCGGTCCAGGAAGTGGGAAGACCGCGTTCAGCGCGGAATTGGCCTGGCCGTCGGCTGGTGCCAACGCTAGACATCAGAGATCCTTAAACAGGAGATTATTGGCCAGGCATTTCTGTCAGGCTAGGAGCGAGGCTTCCTTGTCGCCGGCTCAATTCGTCAGGTCTCTGGTCGCTCAGCTTCTGCAACCTGGTTCAGATGGGATTCACAGGTCAGTGGTCCCATCTGTTTCAAACTTGCTTCACCTTGTCACACTGCATGCTATATGTTTAACATTAACATTCATTCAGTGAAATGGAAATTACTTCGAGTAAAAGTAAGAGTTCAAATGACATTACATTGAAATGTAACATAATTATACAATACTACTTGAGATTTAATCTTCGCGACGCTGAATCCAATTCTGTATTAAAAGTATTTTTCATAAATGATCCTGCTTATTCGTTCCACAGAGTGGCCTCGAGCTCCCCAATACCAGGCAGCACAACCGCCACCAACGCCACGACAGTGCCGTTAACATCGAGAGAAATGGTGGCAGAAGCCTACGCTGAGAAGCTTCGAACCGATCCAGAGATACAAGCCGCTCTGCAGCCGGACGTCCTCGATAGAGACCCCGACGATGCTTTGAAGAAAGCGCTGCTGTTCCCTCTATTGGAGTTAGAGCCACCGAAATGCTGTCTGTTCCTGTTAGTCGACTCGATCGACGAGGGACAGACGCTGGATCTCCCTCAAACTGGCACCAGAGACTCAAGAAGGGAAAACGATAACGTCAGCAGGACGATCGCTGAATTATTGGCCAATCATCATCATCTGTTCCCTCAGTGGTTGCTTCTAGTTTGTACTGCTCGACGCCAGAGCAAACCGATCTCGCGAATGTTCAGCGGCTTTCGAAAGATCCCTTTGGATGATCTAAGGAAATCTTTGGTTGTGAGAGACATTCAGCAGTACATCCTTGCACGATTGGATCAAGAAGATGCTCTCAGGTATTGGCATTGGAACGTCTTTTCTCAATAGTACTTCCCGCTTTAAAATTAATTATTTAGCACTGTTGGAACCTAGATACTTTAAGAATTTCAATTCTGACACTACCGGTTCAATTTTTTCACTTTCCTACATATTTAAATGTTTTAGATAAATGTATTGTTAATTTCTATTTATCCAGGCAGCACATCTCGCGCGACACAGCCGAGATGCTAAACCAGCTGCACATCAAGAGCAACGGCTGTTTCCTCTACCTGGAGAAAGTTCTCGACGGAGTGGCTGAGAACTTCATCGTTCTACGCGAAGTTCGCGAGATACCGGGCACCCTGAATGGCCTCTACCTGTGGCTGTGTCAAAGGCTCTTCAGTCGGAAGCAATTTGCCAAAGTTCAACCTCTACTGAACGTGATCCTAGCCGCGAAACTGCCCATCACCCAGGAGATACTCTACAAATGCGTGAAAACCGCGTGCGCCAACATCACAATAGAAGACTTCAATCGACGTTTGCATCTTCTACGCAGGGTCATCTCTGTTTCTCGTGCAGGTGCACTGATGCTGTTCCATCACAGTTTCGCTGAATGGTTGCTGGATGTGAAACACTGCACGCAGAAGTATCTGTGCTCCGCTGTAGAGGGTCACGCGATGCTGGCCGCGTATTACACCCTTCGTGGCCCGGAATTGAACGCCGATGAAATCTGCGTGCTTGGTCAACATTTACAACGGGCGATAACCAGCGTCGCTACCACAAATTGTAACCTGGACGTGCACACGCTTCAAGTGCTCTGGATGATAGGCAGCGGAGCACCGATAGAAGATTGCTACCTGGACAGCTCGGAGTGTATACTCTGGCCCAGGCAGGAAGTGAAGTTGCTGAAACTGTTGATCGACGCGGGTGCCAAACCCTCCGAGAAGGTCGTCGAAGACGACGCCAGCAAGGATGCTGTCTCTTCTAGTCAAGTAATTAATTTTAGAAGCATTGCATTTAAGAGTGGTTTGAAAAAGGTGGTTTCAGAATGAATTCTTGTAGCTTTCCACTTCATCCTCCTCCGCACGTTGGGAGAGCTCTGGGACCTTTTTATACACACAGAGCTCTCCTCGTGCTGTTGTCCTAAAGGACAATATCTTTTTTTCCGCCTGAATAGGGGTTCGAACCCTGGACCCTCAGATTAAGAGTCTGATGCTCTACCGACTGAGCTATCTCCACCTCTCTCCCCTTTCAGTAACTGATATCTGTCAAATGCTAGATCCTAGGGAACAAAAAGAGCCTAAATAAGAATTAGAGGAATGAAAATTTAATAATTTCATTGTGAATGAAAGTTTTGCGTTTGTAATAAACTACTTTCAATTCTGGGAACAGAATTCGTACAACTTGGTCTGCGTCTCCGTAGGTCTCGCAAGATGTAAGCCCAATGGATGAATCTCCCAGCGAGCCATTAACGGAACTGCTCGGCGAAAGCGGGGACATCAATCAAGCTGATTCTTGCGGGCGAACAGTGCTGCACACGCTTGCTGCGGATGGTAATGCATCTCTGCTGGAGCTGGCTCTGGCGACGTGTCCTCAGGTAAGGATCATCCTCACCCACTTTTTAAAACACGTCTTCATTTGCATCGGCCGTCGTGGACGCATTTTTTTCAGACGCTGGACGACAATTATCAAATTACCAAGGAAGATTTATGAGAGAAAGAGATTTCATTTATGTATAAAAGTTTTACAACTGAACTTGACATGTGTCATCATTCTTAAAACTTCCTTCACAGTATCAGTTCCATTAACACTTCTCCACAGCTTTTAAATTATACTTGACAATGAAAGAGAAAATTCCCTCAATGTTTAATAATTTAATAATTTCCTATCTACTGCGAATTTATGTAACGATTATAAAGGGATCTCATAGAGAGCGGTTTTTAAGAGAAAGCTTGTAATTTAATGGGGAAGAAGCATAAACTAATCATGAAGTATTAACCGCAACTATGCAGGTTTATGACCTTCCTTTATTAGTCATAACAATTATCATAAATATCAGCTCCTGTCAAAAGTTTCCAACTGCGGTGCAATCTCGTTATATTGTTGAAATAACGACTTCCTGAAACTAAAGGCCCAGTCTATGATCATGGTGCCTACCAAGACCAAAATACAATTTCTATTAACGTATAATTTAAACTGAAATGGGGAAACAGTCTGGGAACTTTTGGCAAAGTAGACTCACATAAATTGAGACCCTTTGTACCGGCGCTTCCCAATCCATTTTAGGTTGCAATCTTCTTTTACCATAAAAAAAAAAGATAAAAAAAGAAAAAAAAAAAA